CCGGCACTGGATAGTTAGTGTATAAACAAAATTTTAGATTTTCATCATACAAGGTGTTGGCCATGATAGTACAAAATCATTCTCCGAGGCCCCCCTTTGAGGGGCTGTATCTTTCTTGGGGGGCACTTCAGAAAAAAATATTACCAAGGTTTTCGTAATTATTTCACTCACTCTATATACTCCCAAAGTTTGACCACCTATTTTAGAATCACCTTGTATATCAAATAGAGGCAAATCAGTTTATCCAAACCATGCGGATTCAGTAACAACATCATCGTATTCCATTTTTTCGAACCACACCTATATTATGCCTTATACAGAGTGTCCCGAAATATCATAGAAAGATTTCAATCACAGATTCTAGGAATGCAAATAGTAAAAATATCAGATGCCCCGAAGGATAGGAGGACGATCTGTCCTTAGAGACTTCTAGGGGCAAAAGTACTAAGACCTTAGGTATATACAGGGTCGCTGATATGTATGGAAACAGGTGAATATCTCGGTAACCTGTTGTTGGATTTTTTTGAATTAATGTACTGTGTGATTTCAAAACGTGGCAGATTTGAAAATGTTATAGCCAATGTTGCCACTTTTTCAGTTACACCGGATTTTTCATTAACTTCCTTATTTTGAATAGAACACCCTCTAATTTATTGGATTTTCAGTTTCTCCCTGAAGAGCTAATTCCATCGATCTATCACACTTGGGGTCTAGCAGGAATGAATACATAGGTATAGGGTGTTTAAAATCTAGATTTTTCAACTTTAGTATTTTTTTGTGTCGAAACTATTCATTATCGATCAAAACCGCTCCATTGTTCCCATCTTTACTTCTGATTCACTATCTACTGACATTTAATTGAAACAAATACAGGGTGGTTCAAGATTCAGAATTCTGATCACCCTCTGTATCTGTTCCAATTAAATAGTCAGTAGATGGTAAATCAAAAGTGAAGATAGGAACATTGAAGCGGTTTTGATCGATAATGGATAGTTTCTACACAAAAAAATCTTGAAGTTGAAAAACCTAGATTGTAAACACCCTATACCTATGTAATCATTCCCGCTCGACCCCAAGTGTGATAGATCGATGGAATCAGCTCTTCAAGGAGAATCTGGAAATCCAATAAAGTACAGGGTGTTTCATTCAAAATAAGGAAGTTACTAAAAATCCGGAATAACTGAAAAAGTGGCAACAGAGGCTATAACATTTTCGAATCCGCCACGTTTTGAAATCACACTGTACATAAAATCAAAAAAATCTAACAACAGATTGCCGAGATATTCACCTGTTTCCATACATATCAGCGACCCTGTATGTAGATTGTTCAAACAATCATACCTTACGTACGTCGAATATGCTGTTTCGTTATTGGTCAGATATTCTTCCATTTCCACCCATAAAGCAAGGTTGTCAATTACAATCAAATCATCAAATAAATGTTAGAATCCTGTCGTTCAATGAATCAAAATAGGAGGAACCCATGATATTATAGTTTATTCTCGACTTTTTCGAGCAACCAAAATATTCCTCATTCTCCATAACACAATATCATGTATACGTTGGAGATTTGGCAACATTGTGCTGAATGCTGAGAACTGTTAAGTCCACGCCCATAAGTTTTGCGCCGCGGTTGTCACGTTCACTGATTGAAATGTCCTCTAGTGAGAATGAACATAATTATTATTTACACAAATTTATTATGAGCAATAAGCCGCACAAATCATAAGGGACCATTTTGAGACGATTGAATTTTCATAACTAATTAGGGATATTACCAATATCCAATTGAGGATTGATAAATCATTGAATAACTAATATTTCTGAAGTTCACAATCATGGCAACTGTTCTATGGTGTGCCCCTAGTTACGAAATCGTGGCGTCAGGTTTTACTAGCGGAAAATCTCTAGCAGTTTGAAAATTATCGTGGCATTATTGATGATTCATGGAAAATATGATATTGAAAGGTATTTGAGTGATGATCCTATAGATAGATAGATAGATAGATAGATAGATAGATAGATAGATAGATAGATAGATAGATAGATAGATAGATAGATAGATAGATAGATAGATAGATAGATAGATAGATAGATAGATAGATAGATAGATAGATAGATAGCGTTTATTTGACTACGTTATGCAAATACATACATTTGTAGCAAGTCAATACATCAATACAATACAGTAATGTGTGAATCTAATGAAAAAAATTGTGAATAAATTGTTATAAAAAAATACATCAAAACACTAATATATAGATATAAAATACTATAACATATAGATGTTGAATAGGGCCAAGACATAAAGAATACGGTTCATTTTACATTAAGATCAATTGCAGCAGGTGGGCTAGTTATATACTCAATATCATTATAGTAACATTTGGCTAAAAGTTCATTTTTAATGTATTGTTTGAATTTTTGACCTGCAAGATTTTTCACTGTTTGTGGTAAGATATTATACAATTTCGTGTTCGGAGAGTTAGATGCAGATTTATGTAGTCTATATCTTGAGGATATGATGAGTTCAGCATTGCGAGTACTGTAATCATGGAAATGAGCATTTCTATCGAATTCATTTTTATTTTCATGGATTCCAAGAAGGCAATGGTAAATATGTTAGGTAGGAAGGGGCATTATTCCAAAATTTTTCAATATGGGACGACATGTATCTATATAATCTGCATTAGCAATTATCCTCACTGCTTTTTTTTGAAGCTTGAAAACTCTATCAAAAGATGAGGAGTTTTCCCACAAAACGATACAATACCTAAGATGCGAATTGAAAAATGCTTGATATGCTGTTGAGAGAATCTTAGAACTTACTATAGATCTCAACTGTCGAAGCAGAAATATATGCTTCGAAAGTTTGGAACATAAGTCATCAATATGATTGTGCCAGTTCAGGTTATCATCTATTGTGATTCCTAGTAAATTTACTTTATCATCTTTTTTGATTTTACTGTTGGATGAGAAGATCAAATTCTGAGTTTTGTCTCTGTTAAGTTTCAAGACATTTCCAATGAACAATTTTTCTGCCTGGCTTTCTACATATTTCATGGATGTAATTAAGTTTTGACAGTTTTTGTCAGAGCATATTATCGTACTATCATCTGCATGAACTACACATTTGTTTGGTAACATATGATAAAAGAAATCATTGATGTAAATGATGAAAAGGAGAGGCCCTACAACAGAGCCTTGTGGTACTCCAGATTCCATCACCTCAAATCCAGATGCTTCGTTGCTGTTAAGGCAAACGTAATGCGTTCGATTATGAAGGTAAGACTGGAAGAGAAATAAGAAATGAAAAAAGGAAAGTCCACCCGCCTAATAGATAACAACTCTTTTAATAGCTTTAAGTGAACTTTCTTATCTTAGTTGTTGCTAACAACTAAAATTTTTTCAAAATAGAAATTCACTCACCCTGTATCTACATTGCTTTAATGATTATGCTACCTATCTGGAATAACCGCACCACACAGTCAACGTTCATCGAAGATATTTCACTTCGATCAGATGTAAACCGCTCGCAAAAAGTTTCTTTTGAGAAACACTCGCATTGTGTTGGAGTCGGAAAATCGGATACATTTCCGCTGAAACTTTTCCTGTAACTTTCCTATCGAATGGATTGAAGTTGCATATCGACGTAAAAGTCAACCCTGCTTGTATGTTCTTCGTGAAGGTGAATATACAAGAAGTGAAGGTATAAGTCTAAAAAGCAATCATAATATTTGAAAAAGTGCGGGGGCAGTCTCTGGGGACTCCCGATAAAAGTGAAAACTAAGTAGGTAGCTTGTTAATTATATTTCTGGATGTATGTCAAATTGATATTCATCATATAGGCTAAGCATATTAGGAAAATAAAGGGGGTTCAGAGGAAAGTTTTGCTATAGTTTTAATTTCCTCTATACCCATGTCTTTTGGGTTGCTGATCATGAATTTGAAGTTTGCTGGCAAAATTTTGGCCCGGAACTTTGTTTTTTTGTCACTTTTTGCCAAAATTTTGACACTTTTTTCAGTTTTTGGCCTATATCTCAGAAAGGAAGCATTTTTTCGACAAGATCATTCTGTATAAAACGAAAGGAGATCAAATTTCCTGATTTTTTCATGCTCAACATTTTTTTGTAAGACTAATTGTTCTGCCGCTAGAGAGCGCCAAAAAAGGCCATATTCCCATATCTAGTGAAATTCACAGATACTGTTGGTCATAAATGATTCAATGAACTCGTGTTTTGTATGTATAATGATCTAAAGTTCTGAATTTTTCTTGTCCTACGATCTGGGTCCGTACTCCTTCTCCCTATTTGAAAATGGTTTAAGAAAGGGAACAAAGCAGTCGAACTCATAAAAAATAAGTCGTTCTGCGGAAAAGTGCAATATGTCATCGACGGTGGATATTTGAAAATGGTTTAAGAAAGGGAACAAAGCAGTCGAACTCATAAAAAATAAGTCGTTCTGCGGAAAAGTGCAATATGTCATCGACGGTGGATTCTTACTACACAAAGTTTTTTGGCCCGAGAAGCAATCCTTTTCTGCAATATGTAACAGGTATGTTGACTACGTCGTTACACACAAACAGTAGTTGTATTCGATGGATATCCAGAAGGTTCGAAAGGTGGAACAAAAAGTGCTGAACGGTTGAAGAGGTCTATGAAATCGATTTCCGCAGACATTCTCTTCGATGAGAACAGGATACCGACCATAAAGAAAGAAAAATTCGTATCCAATACGAACAACAAAAGAAGATTGATTTCCATGATCATAGGAAAGTTACATTCTCAATGGAGACAGGCCACAGAAGATGCCGATACCGTCATTGTCAACGAAGCCCTGTCTTTGGCTGAACGTACTGAGACTGAGGTGGTGGTTGTAAGAGAGGACATCGACCTGTTGGTCGACCTGTCAACGAAGCCCTGTCTTTGGCTGAACGTACTGAGACTGAGGTGGTGGTTGTTGAAGAGGACATCGACCTGTTGGTCGACCTGTCAACGAAGCCCTGTCTTTGGCTGAACGTACTGAGACTGAGGTGGTGGTTGTTGGAGAGGACATCGACCTGTTGGTCATCCTTACGGGTCTTTGTCTACGAGATAACGTATTCTTCCTGAAACCAGGGAAGGGAAATGTTCCTCCAACCACCTACTCTCCTATGCATGCTCTGACAAACAAAACCATAAGAGAATACATCATGTTTCTTCATGCAATGAGTGGTTGTGATACAACTTCAGCACCTTACAACCAAGGAAAGTTCGTGAAAACTGTCACCAAAAACCCCAACCTTGCTGATGTTGTGAGTGTGTTCAAAAACCCTGAGGCAACTCCAGAAAGCATTGCAACAGCAGGGGAGAGATTCCTGGTCAACCTGTACGGCTTCACAGGAAGGACTGAGCCGTCGATAAACTGTCTGAGGTATATTAATTATGCGAAGGCAGCTTTCAAGACTTCATCAAAAATAGCTGCACTACCACCATCAGCTGCTGCAGCCACACAGCACAGTTTTAGGGTATATCTCCAAGTGCAGCAATGGCTGGGAGTTGAGAAGAATGCCGAAGATTGGGGTTGGAAACGAGCAACAAATGGCCTGGAACCGATCAATTCTCTACAAGCCCCTGCTCCTCTCGAACTACTGCGTCTGGTGTCATGTAGATGCATCAAGACGTGGGCAAAGAAATGTAGTTGCAAAAAAGCAGGCCTCGATTGCACAAATCTGTGCATCGACTGTGAGGGGTCCTGCAACAATGTGACAATCGAGGCAGATCTCACTATTCCCCCTAATGACGGGCCATTCGACGTCGAAGTACAGGATGAACTGGGCTTCACCTTCGCCCCGGTAGTTGAGACCATCGAAAAGAGTATGGACAAGGAGGATGAAGGTATGTGGCATTTCCTTCCTCATAAAACGACAATCACACTCTTGGAGCATAATATGTATGTACTAAGATGAATGTACCCATATATTCTGTTCATAACAGACCTCCACCACCTTGAAACATATGGAGAATAGATGAATAGACTGAAGAGAATGTGAAATTTCCTTGAAAAATGAAGGTATGTACAACAGTATTCTCAGAAGTAAACGTGCAAAATAATACTCACCCCGTCTATCAAAAAATCCAAGAAATAATATATCCGTTTGTTCCAGATGATTATGGCAGTCTAATTTATAAAGACAGAGGCGATATTAATAACTTTAATGATATGAGTACATGTTATAATACTTTCGACAGTACACTGTAGATAACTTCTTCAGTAAGTAATGACTGCATTTCATTCGTTCGTTCTATTATTTCAATTACTCTCCCTATATTCGTTACTCATGTAGGTCTAGGTTCGGGAATATGTCTATTTTGGCGCGCTCTAGCGGTCGAATGGTTAGTCTTACAAAAAAAAGGAATTCACAAAAAATTTAGGAAATTTTGTCAACTCTAACTTTGAATATAACACGCTTTTCGAAAAAACGGTTTCTTTCTGAGATATAGGCCAAAAACTAAAAAAACTGCCAAAATTTTTGCAAAAAGTGCCAAAAGTACTAAGTTCCGGGCCAAAATTTTGCCAGCAAACTTCAAATTCATGATCAGCAACCTAAAAAACATAGGGGGTGAGAAAATCAAAACTATAGCAAAACTTTCCTCTGAGAATCCTAATATGCTTAGCCTAATACAGGACGTGGAAAGAAATTCCGGTTTGGAAATACCTAATCACGTATCTGCGATTGAGGGTCTATAAAAATAAAATGTTTTCTGTAAGGGCTGTGGGGTTTTATTAAACACAGTCGTCAATTATAATCATGTAATAAACACCTTCCACCTGAGTAACAATAATAACAACCACTGTTCAACAACTGATTAATAATAATAATTCTGATTCCCTATCATGTCTCGACTCCACTGCCGAATCCAACCAATCACCTGTTGGCGCGTGCTGGACGCACATTCCATTGTCCCGAACCCCTACGACTACCGACGAGCATCTTCGTGGGTTGACACCGTGACTAGGCTGACGTCCCAGTTAACACAAATTGATCTCAGAGACGTCAGTACACTTCACATTCATGATTGAGATCACACCCGCGATTCGATTTGTGAGTCACGTCGACATCTCCAGATCCTCTATTCCGGACCCTTTTGGTCATTTTTCGCTTCACATTTAGATGCCGAATGGGATTCAAAAGTTAGCTGAATGTGACTCCAGATATCACGTTGAAATAAGACTCACATTGAGGTCACATTATAATCAGAATGTGAGGTTTAGAAGACCATCGACCATTTCTGAATGTGAGGTTCTTTTCGATTATTATACTGGTATCGTAGCGTCCCTGGAAGAATCATATTGTGCGTCTCAGAAATGCTACATACACATTGATTTTTGATGTCTCAAGTGAAATCACATCTAGATTGATGAAGGTATTCAATGAGAGAACTAATCGGTCTCGAATCTCTGTCAAATAGATCAATCAAGGGTTTCACAAGGCAACTCGATTTTATTGAAAATTAGTCTCATTACACATCAGAATAGGTAAGTACGTACATGTTATGTTGAGCAAAACTACCTAGACTTTTTCGAATAATTATACAGGGTTATATATCTCCATGAGTTAACGCGATGAATATGGAGAACTGAAAGTAACACAAGAGAATCCAATATTTGCTCCTCATCTCTCCTTCCGTTGTAGCATGGTAACCAATCCCTGCTCAGAATTTCAAATTGTTCCAAGGTTGTCCAGATGACTTTTGTGATTTGACATCTGAAAATGAATATAGAAACAATGAATTGATTTCATTTTGCCCATTTCCTGCTCAGAATATCTTATAGAGAGTGAGTAGAGAACCATAATGAGAGTATTGAAAAATGTTCAAGTCACTTTCATATCTACGTGGAGTCGTGTAAGATTGAAATTATTTATGAGAAGATGAAATCACACTGCATACCTACTGTTCTATACCGGGTGACAAAGAAGATAGAGAATAGCTGCGGCGCATTTTTTCCTTCCATTCATAATATTTTGCAATAATTTTGTTCTTAATCAGACTTTCCCAATATACAATCAGAATATGCATGTTCACTTATACCCTGATCCCAAAATGATATATTCCAAGGTATCATTGTAAGTATCATCATATAGTCTTGAAATGGCGACGTGGTGTCGTCTACCCTGTCTTCATTGTCAACCAGTATATAGGTATATTATTGTATCAAGTTATGAACGTTGTAGTTACTTACCCTGTAACTTAGATGAGAAACACACAGTATCTTTAATCACAATCATGATTTTCGATTAGAAAGAGATGCTTATTCAGTCTAAGCAATAACGCCAAACACGAACTGCATACCAACACCGAATGAACTAATGCACTGAAACAACGCAATGGACGAGACAAAAGCATGCCGTCGCTAAAGAATTCACAGACACGTGTACATCAGTCAGACCGACACTGACCGAGTGTGTACGAAACTTTACATAAGTCACATTGTGCGCTACATTCATGAGTATGCGAGTACACTGATATTTCCAAGTATTGTTCGATATTACTTTCATAAATGAATTTCCTTGAGATGTGAGAGAGATTCACATATTGAAGCATATTTTCGTTTCTTCATTCTGCACAATGTGAATCAGTTTGTCAATTCAGATACATCAAATTATGACTCTCAACGACTGAAATTTCAGATTCTGAAATTATAGTCGTTGTGAAGTTAAGGGGCCTCATAAATATTATATCCATATTGGTCTCAGATCCAACAGAATGTGATGAAATTTGCGAACTATCTGTCACACAAGGAATTCCTTGTAGATATCAGCGATGCAATATTGTGATTCGCTTTTGTGACATCAACTGCCATGAATGCGACATCTCATAGATGTTTGTGTTAACTGGGGTCCGGCGTACCCAGATCTCTGCTACATTCCATCGTTCAAGTTCCTTGATTGAGTAAAAGTATTGAAAAGCAATTTTCTCATATGAATTATAAACATGAAAAAATTGATATTCCTTTTCAACACGATTTGACTCGCTTGAAACGTTGTTGAATATTCACAATGAACTGAAATAAATCGATAACAGATTGATAGTGCGTGCGTCCAAAACTAACTAAATGTTTATTGTAATGAAGTGTTTTTGACCAGCTTCATTACTAGACTGGTTTTGATCAAAATCTAAGTACCTGAGCCTGATTCTAGTTGAATTTCAACTGTTCGAAAGCTCGAAACCTGAAAACCTGAGAGAGCTGAGTAATGCATTGATTCCTGACTTCACAAAGCTTTTCCTGATAGTAAACTCTCATGAACATCATCACAACCCTAAAGACTTCCATATCTTTCAACCCTTTGCTCATGATATGAAATTTGATTGAATTATTTATCAGTTGAAAAGATGAATGTTTGACTGCTCATAACTTTGTTGTTATTGAATATTTTCCGGCCAACTTCAATCAGTAGCATAAGCAAAGGTACTAGATCCTGTTCCTGTGCCCATTTGGGGTGTAATATTATTTTTTCCGCGTATTGTGTTGGAGGTGCACATGTGTTTTCAAGGACAGATTTAGTGGCCATGACCATGAGCAATGACAAGGTGGGAGTTTTGACCAATGGGATTCCAGATTTACTCGTCCTTGTGCCAAGGCCAAAGCAGTGCATAAATACTGAAGACAGCCAAGGATTCATGACTCTCAAAGCTCTTCTCGACAAGTCTACACTACCTGATCTCCGTTGCTCTTCAAGCTCCAGATTCTCTTGCTGATCTTTTAGTGCTCTCATAGTTCATTCAAAACCAGTGTAAAATAGTATTGTATAGTGATTTCCTGTTACACATGTAAGTTTGTATATTTTTCACCAGTGTTATTCATCCTGTTTATAGCCTCATTTCATTCCTGTTGTTTTTCACACCGATAATCACCCGACCTGTTAACGAATCCAGAAAGTTGTATTCACGAATAAACGGTTTTTTGTGATTGCATATTCCATATTTCTTTCTCTGTCGTCATTGTTTTCAGTTCCAAATAGTTCAATAATTTATTTAAAGATTTTCAATATTTTCATTTGTCAAAATTGCAGAATATTATTATTGACTGACGACTGACACTGACAAGCCAGTTAACAACTCTTCTTCTTCTTTTCCTCGAGAAATCCTGTCCTGTGCATCTGGGTCTCTGTGCTTTGTGTCCCGTCAGGCGGTGATCTATGTTTCATGAACTTTTGACATTTGGAAAAATATAATTAATTAATCTCACTAAAAATCCGATATTAGAAAATTAGAAAATCGAAGGAAAAGAAAAGATAAATAGAAATTGAATCTGTTTAATTCGTTTAGAACTGTGTTTCCGATTCTCCAGGTAGAAATGATGAAATAGTTGAGTAAATAATCCGAGAAATAATCTTCCAGACCTAACCTTAGAATACCAAAGACCTGAGAGATATTTTGCTTTGATTCCTGTAATTATCCAGACCAGAAATAGCAACCAGTATTCCAGGCTAGACCCAGGGTTTGTAATTAATGCCTACCCTCCCTTGGCTACTTATTGATTCCAGGTCGATTCAATACCATTGACCCCTGGATTATACTGTGGGTACCGAGGTAGGTATACCTCCTGTACCTTTCTCCACTGTTGCTACTTTGGGCCTCCTTCCCGACTAAGTTGGGAGGAGCAGGTGAAGTCAATCACCTTTATCAACATTCTGGCGCTCGAGAATCCCCCCCGTCAAATACCAGAGTAGTCTGCTGTCCTGAACAGAGCGTCAAAGTAAGGGCCCCAGAATAAAGACTCTTACATTATATAAGATTTTCGTCTTGAAAAAATGTCTCCTTTGAGCTATTGATACATTGAAAATTCGCATTCTATATGTGATGAAAATATCAATTCTTCCTTGGTTTATTCA